GGAAGGGGTCCGTGCTCAGTGACTGGCCAGTCATAATGAAGAAGGGAAAGGGGAAATGGAGAGGCCTTCTCTCTGGGTTTTATGAAAATAGGGACCACTATTACTTGTGGTAAAAGTAGTGACATTGTTCAACAAATAGGCAGCTTTTCTTCTTCAGTTTCATGACAGTTGGAATAGTGGAAAATAAGAAAAGGAACAGAAAAGGTTCTTCTTCCTGTCTGTGAAGGAAGGAATCAGTGGGGATAGCTTCAGGTTAGTGGACACCTGGTTAGTTGGTGCTCTGTGAACAATTAGATTGCAAGGGCCTGAAGCATCTTTCCCAGGGTCCCAGGATGTTGTGAGGATGGGAGGCACCTGGCCCATCGCTTCCTGTTTAAGTTATTTGCTCATGTCCAAAAGATTAGTTTATTTATTGGCAGAATAAATCTCAAGCCTAAGGCTCCTTGTGCTACAGCATCATGCTCATTCGGTTGTCAGAAAATCCAGTCTGGAGAGATCGCCCTGTGTAGTAGGTGAGACCTCAACCTGGGAGAGAGTTCTTGACTCTGAATGAGAAAGAATTCATGAGCAGGCTGAGCAGGTCCAAGCAAAGGGTAGTTCAATAAGGCAAAAGTACACACTCAAGGAATGAGTACGAGTGTGCTCCAGAGGCGAGCAACCCAGTGGGGTGTGGGTTGGGTGGTCTTATAGGGAGATACCCTATTTTTGTCCTTAGACTGTCTGCTTCAGAACTGTCATGGCACAAAGGGGTGTGATTTTTAGTATGCTAATGAGCATACAATGTATTTTGAGGTGAGATCAGGGTCAAATTCTCCTCCGTGTTGGAACCAGCCAGTTTTGGTGGGTCTATTATCTATATTCTGACTCCCCACACCTCTTGAGAATAGTTTACATGGAATGTATAGAAAGTAAACAGCATCTAGCCTAATGTAAACACCAGCCAAACTCCCCAACTCCCTTGCTGCTCATGTCTGGCTATCTACCTACTATAACAAGTCCACTAAACCAGATTATTTAGAGTTAATGAGTAAAAGTCCAATCATTTGTTCATTCAACAATCTTATTTCATGTATATAATATATAATATATATAACCTCGAGAATTCAAAGATGAATAAACTAGCTGCTACCCTCAAGGAGCTCATGTTCTAGTGAGGGAAGAGATAATTATAAAACAATTTGGTTAGCATAATAGCAGAGATGCACAGGCATTAAAGGCACTCCTTGTGGGTTATGGGAATGGGATATGAACAACTGAACACAATTAGAGTTTTCCTGGAAAAGTCACACTGGAACTGTCTCAGGATGATTAGTAGTTAACCAAATTTAGGAGTCAGAGGGAATGAAAGGGGCAAATTCCAGCAAAGAACCACATGAGCAAAGGTAAGAAAGCAGTCACAATGTTGCTTGCTATTTTGAAAGTATAAGGCAGGGAATGTTGCCATCAGTTTGAAGCAAATTAGGAGAGGCCTTTTGACATGTATACATGAATAAAACCATCACTACCATCAAGATCACAAACATATTCATAATTCCCAAAAGGTTATTCATGGTCTTTTGTAATCCCTTTCTCCTGCCCTTCATTAGTCCCCCTCTATGCACATTCCCCCCACTGTTCTCTACCCCTGTGCCTAGGCAATCATTGATCTGCTTCTGTTGCTATAGATTAATTTTCATTTCCTAAAATTTTATACAGCTGGAATCATACACTATGTACTCTCTTTTTAATCTTGCTTTTTTAATCTCTTCATAAATATTTTGAGATTCATCTAGGCTGTAGCATGTATCAATAGTTTATTCCTTTTTATTCCTGAGTAGTATACCATCAATATGCTCTTCCTGAATAGTATACAGCTATATCACAATTTATTTATCCATTCACCTGTTGATAGACCTTGGGGTTGTTTCCAGTATTTGGCTACTACAAATTAATCTGCAATGAGTATTCCTGTACAAGTCTTTGTATGGACATGTGTGTTCATTTCTCTTGGGTAAATACCTTGGAGTAGAATGTCTGGATCATATGATGTCATGTTTAATATTTTACAAAACTGGCAAATTGTTTTTCAAACTGGATGTACCTTTCTACATTCTCACCAACGGTATATGAAAGTTCCAGTTCTACCACATCCTCATCAACCTTCAGTATGGTCAGTTGTGCTTTTGTTTTTTAAATTTTAACTATTCTAGGAAGTGAACAGTGTTTTCTCATTGTGGTTTTAATTAACATTTCCCTAATGATTAATGAAGTAGGGTACTTTTTCATGAACTTATTTGACATCCATGTACATTCACTTTAGTGAATATGTGTTCAGATATTTTGCCCATTTTTAAACGGAGTTGTTGATTTTCTTACCATTGACTTTGAGGGTTCTTTTTGTGCTCTGGATACAAACCTTTGTTGATCAATGTGTCTGTTTTCATACCCAAATCATACTGTTTTGATTTCTATAGTTTTGCAATCGACTTTGAATTCAGGAAGTATGATTCCTCCCATTTTGTTTTTCTTGCTCTAAATTCCTTTGGATATTTGGGTTCTTCTGTGGTTCTACACAAATTTTAGGATTGTTTTTTCTATATCTGTGAAAAACACTGAAATTTGTTTGCATTAATCTGTAGATGACTTTGGGTGGTATGGACATTTTAGCAATATTAATTCTTCCAGCCCAAAAGCATGGAATATCTTCCCATTTATTTGTGTCTTCCATTTCTTTCACTAATCTCTTTTCATTTTCAGTGTCTAGATCTCTCACCTCCTTGGTTAAACTTATTCCTATGTATATTATTCTTTTTGAAGTAATTGTAAATAGGGTTGTTTTCTTAACTTCTCTTTCTGATAGTTCATTATTAGTGTATGGAGATGGAACTGATTATTGCATGTTGATTTTACATCCTGCAATTTTGCTGAATTCATTTTTTAGTTCTAACAGTTTTTTGGAATAACGTTTAGGGTTTCTTATATATAACATCATGTCATCTGCAAATAGAAGCAGTTTTACTTCCTCCTTTCCAGTTTGGATGCCTTTTATTTCTTTTTCATTTACAATTTTATTTTGAATCCTCTCAATTTCTTTCCTGTTAAGTCTAACTAAGGGTTTGTGTTTTATTTTCTCAAAAAACCAGCTCTTGGTTTTATCTTTTTATTCTCTATTTTGTTTATTTCAACTCTGACCTTTGTTATTTCCTTCCTGCTATTCACTTTGAGTTTGGTTTGTTCTTTTCTAGTTTCTTAAGCTGCAAAATTGGGTTGTTTATTCGAGACCTTTTTTTCTTAATGTTGGCATTTATCACTGTGAACTTTTCTCTTAGAACTGCTTCTGCTTTAGCTCATAATTTTTCAAATGTATTTACATTTTCATTTATTCAAGTTATTTTTTATTTCTTTTTAAATTTTTTCTCAAGCCCATTTGTTGTTCAGGATCATATTTTTAAATCTTCACATATGTGAGTTCAGTTCTCTTCTTATAATTGTTTCATAGTTTCATACCATTGTGGTCAGAAAATGTACTTGATATGATTTCAATCATCTTAAATTTATTAAGATTTGTTTTATGACCTAACAAATGACCTATCCTGGAGAATGTCCAGGTGAGCTTGAATGTGTATTGTGTTGCTTTTGCTAGAATGTTCTGTGAGTGTCTGTTAAGTTCATCTGTTCTACTGTGTAGTTTAAGACCAAAGTTTTCTTACTGATTTTCTGTCTGGAGGATGTATCCATCATTGAAAGTGGGTGTTAAAGTTCCTTACTATAACTGTAATTCTATTTCTCCCTTCAGGTTCATAAATATAAGCTTTAAATGTTCCTATATTAGGCAATAAATATTTACAAATGTTATAGCCTCCTATTAGATTGACCCCTTTGTCATTATATAATGACCTTTGTCTCTTAGGACCAGTGCTTGACTTAAAAGCTATTTTGTTTGCTATAAGGACAGTTACTCCTGCTTTCTTTTGTTTTCCATTTGAATGAAATGTTTTTCCATCCCTTCACTTCCAGTCTGTGTGTGTCCTTATAGCTGGAGTCTTCCAGGCGGCATATGGTAGGATCTTATATTTTTTATCCATTCAGCCCGTTCATTTTTATGATTGAAGAGTTTTATAGGAAGCTTTTTAAACTACAAATCAATTTATTATTTGATATAGAACTATTCAGATTATTTCCTATTGAGTGAGCCTTGGTACTTTGTATCCTTCAAGGAATTTATCTCACTTCATCTAAGCTGTCAAATTTATTGGTAAAAGTTCTAGATAATATTCACTTATCATTTTGCTTTCTGTAGATCTAGTGTCATTACCGCATTCTTAATGTTGATACTTTCTTTCTTTCTTTTTTTAAAATTATCTGGGTAAAGTTTATCAGCTGTATCAATCTTTTAAAAGAACCAGCTTCTGGTTTCATTGATTTTCTTGATTATTTTTCTGATTTCTATTTAATTGATTTCACCACTTATAGTCATTATTTTCTTCCTTCTATTATGGGTTTAATTTGCTCTTCTTTTCTTATTTCTCAATATGAAAGCTGAGCTCATTGATTTGAGGCCATTCTCCCTTCTAATGTACACGTTTTATGCCATAAAATTTCCTTTAAGTACAGCTTTTGTTACACCCAAAATTTTTGACATGTTGGTTTTGATGGGGTGGAGGGGAAGGGTTGTTCAAAATTCTAATTTCATTTTTGATCTTTTTTGATCCATGGACTATTTAGAAATATGTTAGATTTCAAATACTGGGGATTTTCTAGAGATATTTCTATGGTTGGTTTCTCATTTCTTTCCTTTTAAACTTACTGAATTTTGGTTTATGTCCCAGAATGTTCTATTTGGTAAATGTTTTATGTACTCTTGAAAAGAGTGTATATTCTGTTGTCATTGGGTAGAATGTTCTGTCACCCAAGATGATGCAAGAGATTCTTAAGCCCTAAATATTTGTGCCCTCTGACCTCTGGTGCCACCTTGCAAAGCCAGGTAACTTACTTCCTCTGTTTTTCCTTCTACTTTTTAGGGCAAGAATATCCCTGCATGAGCATGAGTAGCTTGAAATTGCTGAAGTATGTTCTGTTTTTCTTCAACTTGCTCTTCTGGGTAAGTGTGTCTCTTCTGACCTTGGCTGAGCTCACCTCTTCCTAGCTACTTTCTCTCTACTGAGGAGCCTAGAATGACATACCACCCATGCATGCCTGGGTCATGGGTAGCATGCCCAGCCTAAGAACAAGGAAGTAATTATTTCCTCCACTTTTACCAACCAGCCATAGCATAAGCCTGTAAAAGTGAAAGGTACCAGTGTAGCTATTTATGGGGATGCTTTTTCTAATTCTGGAGACTTTAAGCTACTACTGCTCACTGCTGACATCTATGGGTGAGAAATCTAATGTTCTGCATTCTGTGTGTTGAATGCCTCTTTTTTTCTCACTTCCTCTTCCCTTTCCTCCCCACCCCCACACCCCCAGACTGGGCCCCTTGGAAAAATAGCTGATTAAAAAGGAAGTCACTTTTCCTGGGGACATTTCACTGTCAAATTCAACAATTAAATTTCATATATAAATGGGTTGGTGCTTATATATCCATAAGAAGTTCTTGAGTTGTAGCTTCACTAGTTTTCTGCCTACCAAGATGAACTTCTCAACCAGGGCATCCCTTCTATATGGCTGTAGTTTTCAGAGGGAAGACCACATGTAAGCAGTTGAGGGAACTATGGGTAGGGGATCTGAAGCATGAAGATGCTGTGTTACTCACAGGTGTGAGTTTCCCCTGATGTCTGACATGGTAGGATCAAGTGTGAGTGGGACATTACAGCAGGAAGTGGGCATCACTTTTTTTCTAGGGCATGAGGAAAGCTAGGTAAACAGGTTGTTAATGGGTGTCATGACAGTGCCAGTGGAGAAAGGTAATTGGGATTTCAAGTTGAGTGAGACTAGAAGAGACATTCAAGAACCATGTTTTACCTCAGAATGTGGTGGGATTCTTCTTTACAGTTCTGTGGCTGCTGCATTTTGGGCTTTGGAATTTACCTCCTGGTCCACAACAACTTCAGGGTGCTCCCCTCCCTCACATTGGGCAATGTGCTCGTCATCGTGGGATCCATTATCATGGTGCTTGCCTTCCTGGGCTGCATGGGCTCCATCAAGGAGAACAAGTGCCTGCTTATGTCGGTGAGTCCCTCACAGCAGATGTGATGTCCTTAGGCTCCAGGCAAGGTGTTTCTTGGCAGCTAACCTAAGGGCACAGGAAAATCATAGGGACATAGGATTGGCACTCCAGGTCAGCCAAGTCTGTGTAGACCAACAAAATTTTGTTTCTGACTGGGTTTCCAAGGATAGGTGGTAGAGGGCATTGCTATCCTCCTTGGCATCCATTTTATACCATTACTAATGACACTTGTCATTATATTTCCCACCATACCTTTTATTTCATGTCTGGTTGAAATCAAGTGTCATCTGTATGCCTACATTCTCCTCACAATAGTGTGTATTTTCATGATCTGATTCAGAGTCATTAACTGATGGAAATCACCTCTAGATTCTTTTGTGTTCTGGGGTCCTCCTAAATGTCAGAAGATGCTTCCCTATTTCATATTTGCAAAAGATACACCCTACTGTGAGTGACCCATCTTAAGTGAGGGTCTAGGCTTCAGCCACTGAAGTCTACCCTAAAAGATGCTAGAACTTTTCAGTTGTTCCCTGTCAATTTACTGTCCTGAGAAGCACCTGTAGGCTTAGGTTTTGCCTGTAAGCTCTATGAAAGAAGAGCTCCTCATTTATCTAGTGTACCTAGCACAGAGCTTTGTATAACAGTGCCACTCTCTCCATAAGTATAGGTTCCTCTCACCTAATTCATTTGGTAATCTTTCCCTTATGCCTCAACACTTAAACTAAATCCAAGACATAGAATAAGAAAACCTTGTTCTCAGGTCATTCTTGGATTAATGGCAAAAAATGGGAGATAACAGGCATGGAGAAAATGTTTTAAGCAGTCAAAATTAATGTTGGGATAAGAAGGTGAAGGAGAGGGAATAAATGATTTTCTGTTGTATATGATTAGATAAATGGAGTAAGCGTCTACACTTGGAGATAGATTGAGTTAGGGCCTTGATAAGAGATCCTCTTCTCCCCATCTATATAAGGCCTTTCCCAACCTCCACCATCAAATTACCCTGATTTTGCAGAAAGGACCAGGCATCAAACTCAGAAGACACATGATTTTGCTTACTCATCTTTTGCTCAACTCTTTTAATAGGCTGATGCCAAAATTGCTTCATTGATTCAATAAATGCTATTGTATATACATTATATATGTGGAGCTCAATAGGCACAATGGGAAAGAGAGTGCAATGTCAGAAGGCAGTTGATCTGCCCTCTACAGTCTTGGAGTTAGCTGTAGAAAAAAAACATATTCCTCACAAACAAAACAAGGCTTATGAAGGCCTGAGCATGCAGAAACAGGAGGCTTTGCACATGGGCAGAGCCATGCCTGGATGCTCCAGGGTAGAGTGGGAATGGGGAAGAACTGGAATCAGTGCTATTAGCATGTCTCTGCTTTGTGCTAGTTCTTTGTCCTGCTGCTGATTATCCTTCTTGCTGAGGTGACCTTGGCCATCTTGCTCTTCGTGTATGAACAGAAGGTAAGTTATAAAGGACACAATTCATTGTTGTATTGCTGACAGGTAGAAGCTGGCACAAAATAAGACCTCTAACAGAGGTAGAAATGAAGGGGGATGTTGGAGGAAAGAGAGATTAACTGCAATTGGGGAGAGAAAAACATTTCATGAAAGAGATTGCATTTGAATAGTACTTTGAAGAATGAATGGGAAGTACAGTAAAAACAGGTTTGTTTTCCTCCACCTTAATTTTCTCCATGTGTTTTCTCCTAAGACAGCCCATGCTTTGATTGTCCTTTTTCCTCCTTTGGGAAAACCAGAGCCCTGGAAGGACAAGAGACCACTATGTACAAATCTTCCCTCAATGCCGTCTCACCCTCAGCACTTCTTCTTACATATAAACTCCCTCTCCTCCCTTCCTTAGCCCTGAGGAGGCCATTTGGAAGGGAGTAGCAAATGGAAACCGCTACTTAATTCTATAAATTCTTTGTTCCTTGAACTCACCTGCTTTTTACAATATCTCCTTTGCTGGAATGTGTCCTTCCCAGTTGGATAAGTATGTGTCTGAGAGTCTGACTGACAGCATCAAGAGATATCACTCAGACAACAGCACCAAGGACGCATGGGACTCCATCCAGTCATTCGTGAGTATTTGAGTATTGATAGACTCCTCCCCAGCTCAGCCCAGACTTAATTTCCCAACCCAAGTACCTGGGGGTTAGAAAGGACTTCCTTTCCTGAAAGTTTCAAAATCTTAAGATCCAGACCCCCTAGGTTCAGAATAATGATTGGCTGTCACAAACAGGAGAGCACAGGAATCAGTGCAGTTGGTATACAGTTGTCTACATTCTGTCTTTCATCCTTCATCAACTCAGTTGGCTCATTGTTTAAGCCCTATTAAGATGTGAGGAAGACTCAAACATGTCACACTGAATTAGTTTATATATTTTCCTATCTTTTTATGAAAACATAGATTGTATAATACCAGAAATTTCTATTGAATTCCTTCCTGTACCCAAATCATGCTTATTGCCTAGCTCACCAGCAGCCCACTCCTCATGCCCCTTTCCTGCCACAAACATACATATTAATTCTTTATTTTTATCTTGGTGTGTTGGTGGATAAAGAAGGGTCAGGGAGCCAGCACAGCACTGGCATAGTCTGTGCGTCAGACAATACTACTGTGTGGAGCTGCTTGTGGCCCTGGGATGCTTGCTTAGTGTGAAGTAGAAATAATAGGACAGGAATTAGAACCCAGAGACCAGGATTAATTGGCTTTGGAAAATTCACGTAACCTCTCTAGATCCCATATGCTTTCTCTTTCTCTTTTTTTAGTTTGGTTTTTGAAGCCTTTTTATTACAGAATTTTCAGACATATGCAAAAATAAAAATAACTGCAAATGAATCTCTGGGTACATGTCACCCAGCTTTGACAGTTAACATTTTGCCAATGTCATTTCAGCTAATCCATGATTTTTTTGCTAGAATGTATTAAAGCAAATACTAGGCATTATATCATTTCCCTTACTGAATATAAGGATAGTGACTTCTTTTTTAAAAAAGGCTTAATTTTTTTTTTTTTTTGAGAGGGCATCTCTCATATTTATTGATCAAATGGTTGTTAACAACAATAAAATTCAGTATAGGGGGGTCAATGCTCAATGTACAATCATTAATCCATCTCAAGCCTAATTCTCGTCAGTCTCCAATCTTCTGAAGCATAACAAACAAGTTCTTACATGGTGAACGAATTCTTGCACAGTGAATAAATTCTTACATGGTGAACAGTACAAGGGCATTCATCACAGAAACTTTCGGTTTTGATCATGCATTATGACCTATAAACAATCAGGTCAAATATGAATATTCGTTTGATTTTTGTACTTGATTTATATGTTGATCCCACATTTCTCCTATTATTATTATTATTTTTATTTTTAATAAAATGCTGAAGTGGTAGGTAGATGCAAGATAAAGGTAGAAAACATAGTTTAGTGCTGTAAGAGGGCAAATGTAGATGATCAGATGATCAGGTGTGTGCCTATGGACCAAGTATTAATCCAGGCTAGACAAGGGCAGCAAGACATCCACGGATGCAGAAGATTTCTCTCAAAGCAGGGGGGGTGAGGTTCTGAGCCTCACCTCTGTTGATCCCCAAATTCTCACCTGATGGCCCCCCTGCGACTGTGAAAAGGCTTAATTTTTTAAGAGCAGTTTTAAGTTTACACTAGAACTGAGAGGAAAGTACAGAGATTTCTCTATCTGTTTGCACACAAGCATAGTCTCCCCATTATTAACATCAATCACCAGAATGACACATTTTTTACTAAGGATGGACCTACATTGACACATAATTATACCCAAAGTCTACAGTTTACACTAGGGTTAACTCTTGGTGTTGTGCATTCTATGGGTTTGGACAAATGTATAATGACATGTATCCATTATTATAAATGTCATACAGAGTATTTTTACTACCCTAGATATCCTCTGTGCTCTGCCTATTCATCTCTCTTCCTTTCCACATCCCTGGCAACCATTAATTTTTAAAAATTGCCCCCATAGTTTTGCCTTTTCAAGAATGTCATGTAATTGAGATCATAGAGCATGTAGTTTTTTTCAAGTTGGCTTTTTTCACTTAGTAATATGCATTTATGATTTCTCCCTGTCTTTTCATAACTTCATAGCTGCTCTTTTTTTGCTAATTAATATTCCATTATCTGGATATACCAGTTTATTTATCCATTCACCTATTGAAAGATATCTTGGTTGCTTCAAAGTTTTGGTAATTATAAACAAAACTACTATAAACATCCATGTGCAGTTTTTTGTGTGTGCATAAGCTTTCAATTCCTTTGGGTAAGTATCAAATGGCATGACTGCTGCATCATGTGGTAAGAATATGTTTGGCTTTGTAAGAAACTTCCAAACTGTCTTCCATAGTTGCAGTACATAGTACTGTTTTTCATTCTTATCAGCCGTGTATGAGAGTTCCTGTTGCTCCACCTCCTCTCCAGCATTTAGCATCAGTATTCCAGATTTTAACCATTCTGTTAGGTGTTTAGTGGTAGCTCATTGTTTTAATTTTTATTTCCCTGATGACATATGATGTGGAGCATCTTTTCATATGTTTATTTGCCAACTATCTTCTTTGGTGATGTATCTGTTAAGGTTTTGGCTTGTTTTCTAATCAGATTGTTTTCTTATTGTCAAGTTGTAAGAGTTCTTTGTATATTTGGGGTAATAGTCCTTTATCAGATGTGTCTTTTGAAAATATTTTCTACCGGTCTGTGGCTTGTCTTCTAATTCTTTTGATTTGTCTTTTGAAGAACAGTAGTTTTTAATGTTAATGAAGTCCAGCTTATCATTTGTTTCATGATCCATGCTTTTGGTACTGTTTCTTAAAAGCTATCAGCATTATCAAGGTCATCTAGGTTTTCTCCTATATTATCTTCTGGTAGTTTTACAGTTTTGTGTTTTACATGTAGGCCTGTGAACCATTTTGAGTGAATTTTTGTGGTGGGTATAAGGTCTCTATATAGATTCTTTTTTTTTGCATGAGGATGTCCAGTTGTTCCAGCACCATTTGTTGAAGAGACTATCTTTTCTCTCTTGTATTGCCTTTGCTCCTTTGCAAATCAAGTTGACTATTTATGTGGGGCTTTTCTGGGCTCTCTATTCTGTTCCATTGGTCTATGGGCCTATTCTTTCACTAATACAATATTGTCTTGATTACTATAGCTTATGGTAAGTCCTGAATTTGGGTAGCTGCAGTCCTCTAACTTGTTCTTCAACTGCAATAATATGTTGGCTATTCTGGGTCCTTGGCCTCTTCATATAAACTTTAGAATCAGTTAGTTAATAACCATACAATAACTTGCTGGGATTTTAATTGGGATTGCATTGAATCTATAGATCAAGTGGGGAATAACTGACACTTGGACAGTATTGAGTCTTCCTATCCTTGACCATGGAATATCTCTCCATTACTTAGTTCTTTGCTTTTGCTCATGAGAGTTTTGTAGTTTTCCTCATATAGATCTTGCACATATTTTGTTAAACTTATACATAGGTATTTCATTTTTGGGGGTGCTAATATAAATAATTCAGTGTGTTTTTAAAACTTTTTGTTTTTAGGTACATACAGTAAAATGCACAAATCATAGTGTAGAGCTGATTAATTTTATTACCCAGATCAAGATATCATTCTCACTCATTTTTTCCCCCTTTCACTTATTTCACCTATGGAATGGTGCTTTTTAATTCCAAATTCCACTTACTATTGTTGGCATATAAGAAAGCAATTGACTTCTATATGTTAACTTGTGTCCTGCAAACTTCCGACAATTATTAGTTCCAGAAGTTTTTTGTCAGTTCTTTCAGATTTTCTTTATAATCATCTCATCTTTGAGAAAAAATAGTTTTATGTTTTTCTCCCCAATCTGTATACATTTGTTTATTTTTCTTTATTTATTGCATTAGCAAGGACTTCCAGTATGATGTTTAAAGGAAGATATCTTGCCTAGCACCTGATCTTAGTGGGAAGGCTTCAAGTTTCTTAGCATTAAGTATGATGCTAACTGTAGGTTTTTCTGTGGATTTCTTTTTATCAAGTTAAGCAAATTCCTTTCTATTTCTCATATTAGTAATTTGTGTCTCTTTTTTTCCTTACTTAGTCTGGCTAGAAGTTGATCAATTTTATTGACCTTTTCAAAGAACCACCTTTTTGTTTTGTTGTTTTTTTTCTCTATTGATTTCCTATTTTCCATTTCATCAATTTCTGCTTTAATCCCTTCTTGTTCTTGTTCTTGTTCTTCTTTCTTCTTCTTTTCACTTTGCACTGAACTTGCTCTTCTTTTTCTAGTTTTTAGGGTGGACACAGATTGTTGATTTTAGATCTTTCTTCTTTTCTAATATTTGCATTCGATGCTATAAACTTTCCTGTAAGAACTGCCTTTGTTGCATCCCCCCAATTTTTATAAGCTGTTTTCATTTTCATGTACTTCAAAATATTTCAAAGTCTCTCTTGATATTTATTCTTTGATTATATGTTATTTAGAAGTGTTTTGTTTAATGCTTAGGTAAAATAACTTATTTTTATTTAGTTTTATTATTTATCATTTTTATTGAAATATAGTTTATATACAATATTATATTGGTTTCAAATAAATCACTTAATGATTCATCAATTATATACATTGTTACATGCTCACTGTGATAAGTATAGTTACCATCTATCACTACAGTACAAAGATACTACAATATTATTAGCTGTATTTCCTATGCTATACCTCCAGCCCTGTGACTAAATTATTATATAAGTTTGTACCTCTTTATCTTTTACCTATTTCACCCATCTCTCACCATAGTAACCAACCATCCATTCTCTGTGTAAAACAACTTATTTTTAATGCACCTAAAATTTTATAATACTTCCTTAATATCACTAATAGGTGGTCTATAATCAAATTTCCCTAATTTCTCAAAAAGTTTGTTTCAATTGCTTTCCTCAAGTAAAGATCCAAGCAAGATCCACATATTACATTTGGATGATATGTCTCTCTAAATCTCTTTATTTGTTTGTTTGTTTTTATTTTGTTGTCATTACTCTACAATTATGTGAAGAACATTATGTTTACTAGGGTCCCCCTTTCACCAAGTCCCCCCCACGAACCCCATTACAGTCACTGTCCATCAGCATAGTAAGATGCTGTAGAATCACTACTTGTCTTCACTGTGTTGCACAGCCCTCCCCATGCCCCCCTCCCACATTATACATGCTAATCATAATACCCTGTTTCTTTTTTCCCCACCCTTATCCCTCCCTTCCCTCCCATTCTCCCCAGTCCCTTTCCCTTTGGTAACTGTTAGTCCATTCTTGGGTTCTGTGATTCTGCTGCTGTTTTGTTCCTTCAGTCTTTCTTTGTTCCTATACTCCACATATGAGTGAAATCATCTGGTGTTTGTCTTTCTCCACCTGACTTATTTATACCCTCTAGCTCCATCCATGTTGTTGCATATGGCAGGATTTGTTTTCTTCTTATGGCTAAATAATATTCCATTGTGTATATATACCACATCTTCTTTATCCATTCATCCACTGATGGATACTTAGGTTGCTTCCATTTCTTGGCTATTGTAAATAATGGCTTTTGAACGTAGAGTTCTATAAATGTCTATTAGGTCCATCTGTTCTAGTGTGCTGTTGAGTACCTCTGTGTCCTTACTTATTTTCTGTCTGGTGGATCTGTCCTTTGGAGTGAGTGGTGTGTTGAAGTCTCCTAAAATGAGTGCATTGTGTTCTCTTTCCTCCTTTAGTCATATGTTGGTGCTCCTGTGTTGAGTGCATATATATTTATAATGGTTATATCCTCTTGTTGGACTGAGCCCTTTATCATTATGTAATGTCCTTCTTTATCTTTTGTTACTTTCTTTGTTTTGAGGTCTATTTTGTCTGATACTACTGCATAACCTGCTTTTTTCCCCCTGTTGTTTGCATGAAATATCTTTTTCCATCCCTTGGCTTTTAGTCTGTGCAGGTCTTTGGGTTTGAGGTGAGTCTCTTGTAAGCAGCATAGAGATGGGTCTTGCTTTTTATCCATTCTATTACCCTGTGTCTTTTGATTGGTGCATTCAGTCCATTTACATCTAAATCTCTTTTAATCTATATAGTATACCTCTTTGTTCATACTATTTATATTTGGAAAGATTAGTTTGTTCTGTGGAATCCCTCACTTTCTGGGTCCATGTAGTTGATTCCTCAAGGTATTTTAGCATCAGGGAAACTTTATCTCCCATAGTCATAAATCTGGACATTTGATGTAGGTTCCATTTGTGGTGAGACTAACAGCTGACATTTCTCATTGCATTATGTAAGCAGGCACATAATATCTGGTTGCCCTACTTTTGTGATCTTAAGACTGGTTGGTAGGTTTAGGTGTAATCAGCCTGATTCCTCCATTATAAAGTCCCCTGTATGTCTACTTTTTGGTCTGTAAAATATGAATAAGTTAAACGTGCCCTCTCTACTTCAAGGATTCTTATGTGAATGAAATGGTATAACAGATTTGAAAACATTTTCTTCTATGAAGCCATGATATTCAGGCCCATTCCAGATTTTCTGCTATAGAGTCAGATCTGAAGTTTTTTCCCAAGGCCCGTCTTTTCCCCAAGGCCCACAATTTTCTCTCTGTTGAGTTTCTAACCATCACTTTTTTTGGGTTTGTTTTTTAGCTGCAATGTTGTGGTGTAAATGGCACAAAAGATTGGGGAAATAACCCACCAGCATCTTGCCCTTCAGAGCCACAGGTAATTTTTTGGCAATTTTTCTGTTATTTGCCTCTTTGGTTAAACTTGCAATTACCTAGAAACTCCAACCAAACAGGACTTATTCCTCCCAGAAAGAAAAAGGGAATCTTGAACAAAATAGAGACTAGGGGAATAACCTAGGTAACTAGACAAATAAAAAATATCAAAGGAACAAGCTCACTTAGACTAGAGATACCATTAAGAATCTTGCTACCCTGAAAGAACATTAAAAGGGAAAAGTTTTATGTGGTAGTGGCAGAGTATTATGTCTAGATTTTTCTTGAGCAAAATGTAGGTCTCCTTATGTTTGAAAGTGAAGTTTGTAAGGTTGAAGTAGAAAAGCTTCTTCTACTATTTATTTGCCCTCCTTCCTTGGAGATTGCAGTTTCTAGCTCCTTAGTGAAATGAATTTTAAGTGAAGGAGTGAGGAATTGGGGGAGAGTCGAAGGAACTGCTGAAAAAATTGTCCACTTAATTTTGACCTCCAGACTAGGCCCAGAGAAGAAGTCAAAATCATCTTCCAAGTAGACCAAGTCCCTAAGGTCTTATTACCCCATGTTATTCATTCTTGGTGTTTAGAAATCTCCAGAAATTTTGAGGTCTGTGAAGAAAACTGCGACACCCACCAATCAGCAATAGCCATAGAGCTTGGTAAGCCATGATAGGTTTACTGGTTGTTGAAACAGAAGCAGAAATACAACCAATCCTAGAATTACATAGCCTATATTCCCATTTGTTAATCCCAAATCAGCAGTTAACGTTCAAAGAACATAAGGACATCTGTTGCTCATATGCCTCTTGGGAATTATTGTCACTCAGTGTGTAAGGAACTAGGACCTCTATATTAGGTGCCACTGTAACTCCAGAAAAGTCTCTAGCTTAATATCTCTACTTTATGCTTGTTTCTTTTGTCCATAGAAAGAAAACAAAAGTATAATACCTGGCCTAAGTCTTCTGGCATAAGGGAAAATATAAATTATCTTCCCAAATAAACTTGATGAAGTTGAGTAATATAGTAGTATCATGTGTACTTGAAATTTTTTCTAGGGTTGCTATGAAAAAGCAAAACTGTGGTATCACTCCAATTTCCTGTATATTGGAATCATCATTATCTGTGTATGTGTGATCCAGGTAAGAGCTTAACCACAGGATTATTGTGAAGTGCTGTACAAGTCAGTACTTGGATTAAATGTGAAGATTAAATTAGTTAAATCATCTAAGGTTTTAAAACAGTACCAAGTATATAGTGTGTGCTCAATAAATATGACCACCCCCAGTCAAGTAGCAAATGATGTTATTACCAATTTAAGGCATATAGAAAATATGCTGTAACATATATTTGGTAAACTTATCCCTAAGAAACATGAGTACTTCACAGTCAAATTAAGAACCTCCAGAAAGACCCCTACTTTGGTTCTCACTTAGCTGGTCTGGAAAAGCTTGTTATGTATAATATAATAATACAAAGCTGAGCTTTGCTCAGTAGATGTTAATAATGAAAATTATCATCATTTTCCTCATTTCTCCACTTAGTTTGACAAGTCATGGGTAAATTGGGGATAGTACTGTGTTCTTTTTATTAAGTGATACTCTATTTTTATACCCAAGTGTTTGGGTATTTCACAGGTTAGTTAAGATTTAATTAAGAAGCTCAGAGAGAAAAAAATCTTTCTCTGCTTGGAAACCAAGGAGTTCTAGGGTATGGGTACAGATGACTCATTGCATGAAGTGCTGACTTGTACAGAACTTGATTGTACCAGCCCCAGAGCTTCAGAGGACAAAAGATGTCCCAACACTTTATAATCTCCTGCTTTGCCATCATCACCCCATACTCATCTTGCCCCTGCCATTCTGGAAAAAGAAAAATTAGAAAGAATTGGAAGTGATAGCAGAAAAGGTGGCTTCAGCATGATGGGACACTTTTTTTTCCTCTGGAGCTGATCCCAGGGGTTGTAGGAGGGATAGCTTCTCTGGTGAAGACCTCACATTTTCCTAACTCTTTTCTCAGGTATTGGGGATGTCTTTTGCACTGACCCTGAACTGCCAGATTGATAAAACCAGCCAGACTCTAGGGCTGTGACCTGCTACAGCTTTGTGTTGGAGAGGTTTGATTCATCTCTGGAAATCCAAAAGCACTTAGAGTGTGAAGCCCTAAATGATCACCTCCTGGACTGGCATCTTTGTTCCCTTCCCATCTCTTCCCTGTTTTGGTCCCTGTCTCATACAACCAGAGAAGAGGGTGTTGTTCAGGCATGTTCCATCTCAGGCAGTAAGACAATCATTCACCCCTCATGGAAGCATCCATGTCCCTTGAGGTGGTGACAGTAATTCCTGAGCATTTTTCAGACATGAGAGGTCAGGGGAACCTGTGGCACTACTGGTTCAAGATCAAAGGATGTGTCTGGGACTTGAAGTTTCTGGTTTCTAAATCATGCCCAGTCCACTCTCCAAAGTCAAGCAAAAGACAAGCTGAAGGGAGCTTTGGGGCCAGTTATTGAATCACTGTCACCCCTATTGTTTCCTTTTGACTGGGAGTCATGGCTATAGGAATTACAGAGGATTATCTCCAAAGGGTGATATTTCATTTCAATTTCCTAATTAAAGGGCCTTATTGATTCATTCTGTCTTTCCAGAAGAAATTATCCAGTGATTCATATCCTGACTTAAGCAAATGTCTTAGCCTTTGATTTGCAGAGCTATGGACAAACTCAGTAGGACTGCTGTCTCTGGTAGTTTAGGTGGAAATCACATTCAGAAGAGTTCTGGTGGTATTTCTCTATCAGATAACTCTTCAATAAATAAAATAGCTTATGATTTCAATCACTACATTCCCATTCTTATATCTCAAATACACTTTCCATGACTTAATCTTATAGCCTAGCCAGCAAGCCAGGCATAATAGTTACCTATTGCTGCATAACAAGTTACTGCAAAACTTAGTGGCTGAGATAACAAATATTATCTCACATTTTTTATGTGTGATGAAATGGGAGCAACTTAGCTGAGTGACTCTGGTTCATGGTTTCTCACATGACTACAAGCAATATATCAGTCAGGGCTGTGGTCATCTCAAGCCTCAACTAGAAGAGGATCCACTTCCAAGCTCTTTCACATGGCTTTGGTAGGTGTCAGTTCTTGCTTCATACAACTTTCCTCAGGGTTGCCTTACAACATCCCAGCTGGTATTCCCCGTACCAAAACATGTAAGAGAGAGCATTAAATATAGCACCTCAAATAAACTATAGTCCTTTTATAATCCGACTCACAAGTGCCATCACATCAATTCTGCCATGTTATATTACTTAGAAGAGAGTCAAAAAGTTAAGCCCACACTCAAAAGGAGGAGATTACACAAGGGTGTGAATACTAGGAAGCGGAGATCTTTGGGGACCATTTTAGAAGTTTCCAACCACATTATGTTTTTTGAGTCAGAAGAAATTAAATTGGATTGTTGTCTGTAAGACAAGTGAAATTATCTGTATGATAACCATATTTTGTAAAGTATAAAATCAGAACATATCTAATACAGAACCAAATGTTGAGAAGTCAGAGAAAGGGAAGAATTGGTTTTTGTTCTTGAAGTTTTGTGTAAGATCTCCCACTCCATTTAAGGCAAATTGGTCATTTAAGTGGTAGTCTATAGGAAAACCTACACCTTTTGCACTTTCTTGAAGTGAATAAGGACCAGAGGAGATATTCATTTGAGTATTCAACATGTACAAAATGAAACATCATTGTATCTTCTAAACTGCTCTTTTTTGTTCCCCATATCAGTGAGTGATAATACCACCCATCCAGTTGCCCTACCTAGAAACCTGAGTTTTTTCCTTAACTCTAGCCTGCCCTTCACTCCCAGTATCTGGTAAGTCATAACATTCAAAGGATTCATTCACCAAATATCAGTTTATCCATTCTCCCCATTTCATTTCTTGCCTGTATTTCTTTAATAGCCACTATCTCTTCTCCTAGTATCCAGAATTGGCCCCATCTAGGTTATTTTCCATATAGCACTCAAAATAATATCTCTAAAACATAAATGTAAACAGATACTTTCCTGCTTAAAATTCTTTAATACTATGTTTCTCTTAGAATAAAGTCTAGATTCCTTATTACGTCCACCAGGCCTGACATATGTCCTACACTTAGCTCTCCAGCCTCACCTCTTACCATTCTCACATTTTTATTCTATGCTTTAGTTATATTAACATTTATTTAGTTGCTCTTGTCTGTATCTGTACTAACCAAATTTTTTTCCCAGTCATCCACTGATCCCCTTTGTCTGGATAAATCCTAGGCTCTCTTTTCTCTAATAAAGGTTTCCTTGATACTAGGAAGCTTAATGTCTATTGAGGTATTCCCAAATATGAGTCAATGTGCTAAGAGCTTTACATACATTTCCCCATTTAAATCTTGCCAAATATCTCATGTGTGTACCTCCTAATACACTCATAGAAACTTTGTAGACCTTATCACATTGTGTTTTAATTGCCTAGTGATTTGTCCTTATTAATTATTGGCCTGACCAAGTTAGAAAAATAAATAAAAGGTACAAATTAATTATAAATAAAAATTGGGTCATAACCACAGATGTAGTAAAGATTTTAAAGTCCATGAGGCAACATGATTTTTTTAAATGTAGGGCAATCATTTTGAAAAAAAAATGTGTTACTATTTTCTAAAATAATAGAAACCATCCACATTGACTCAAAAAGAAAAAATGGATTTGTTTCTGATAAATAGTAGACAATATTACTAGACTAAACTTCCCATTAAAAACAACAAAAGTGCTAGACAAAGCTTTAAAACATTTTATTAAGAGCACTATTGAGCTGGAAGGAAAGAAATACTCAAGCCCATGACCTAGTGATGGTAGAAACCAGAGAAATAAGAGGAATTTGATGTCATTTTCCAAACTAGGTGAACTTAGATTTCTGTTTTCATGGCATCATGGCACATGGGGAATGGGAGGCAAATGACAGGGTCCTGCCTAACAGGAAGTGTAAGCAGAGATCCTTCTTCTTTTAAGTCAGAAACACAAAAGTACTGTACCTTAGTGTAAGAGTAATCTAGAAAGACTACTCACTTTCATTAAAGGTTAAATGAAGATCTGACCGAAACTTGGCAACTTAGTTGAAGAATGAAACATTACTGAAGAGTTGAATCCATAATCTGTATATAATATTGACTAAAGTGCAAATTTAGAGTGTCTGAGCCAAAATTTCAAACTAAAAATTTAGTTTATAGTTTTCCCAAACAAGAAGTTATCCCAGACTCTGGCAGAGGCAAAATGCACACACTTTCTGAAGGAGCCCATATTAATACCAGGTCTCTATGAGTCACAAAAGGTAATTTTTCAATGAAATTGAACTACCCACAGTCAAAATTTGCAAAATAGATGAGAAAACAAGGCACTATGACTCAAGAGAAACATCAAATAATAGGAATAGACCCACTTAAGTTCAGATATTGGAGTTACTTGACAGCAAATATAAATAGCCATGTTTTTCTATATTGAAGAAAATTAAGAGCAACTTTAAAATATGTGCAGAAATAAAACTAAAGAAAAACTAAGAATTTTTAAATGAAAGTATAAAAAATTAAATTTTGAAAGCAATATGTTTAAGAGCAGATTTGGTACAACTAAAGCCAGATTAATAAAAAAGAAGTTAATCAGAATGTAGGTGTAGTAGATTGAGTTGCAACCCCCAAAAAGATATGTCCAAATCTTTACCACCAATACCAGTGAATATGGCCTTGTTCAGAAATAATTTTGTGACTGATTAAATTAATAAATCTGAGATTAAATTATCCTAGATTTAGGGCGGGACCTAACTTCGATGTCTGGTGTACTTGTAAGTGAAAGGAGAGGGAGATTTGAAAAGCAAATACAGAGAAGGCACATAAAGTAAGGTCATGTGAACACAAAGGCAGAGTTCGAAGTGGTGTGGCTCACTGAAAACCAACAGGAGGGAGGAGAGTGACACAGAACAGAGTCTTCTTTAGAGCACCAGAAGGAATCAACACTGAAGATACCTTGATTTTGGACTTCTGGCTTTCAGAACTGTAAGAAAATAAATCTATGTTGTTTAAAGCCAACAAATTTGTGGTAATTTATTCTAGCAATTCTAAGAAACTAATATAGTAGCACATAGAAAGAGTGGAAAATATGAAAGCTAGGTTAGAAAATGATGGCAGAGAGAGTATAACATAAATGTAACTGTAGTTCCAGAAAGAGGAGATACCAAGCATAGCAGACACCATACTTGAAGCTATAATAGTTGAGAATATTCCAGAACTGATGAAAGATACATTCCACAAATAAGAAGCCCAATGAATTACTTTTATGAGGGAAAAATGAAAATCACACCTAGACATATCATGGTAAATCTGGGTAAAAACAAAGAAAATTTAAAAACAGCCATAGAAGTCATGGTTATAGAGGGCAAGCAGAAGTGGAATATTGGAACACCAAAACTGCCTATGTCCCGAAGGTATGAACTAATATCACAAATACTTGTGTTTTGGTTCTTTGACATGATCCATCATTATAGGCTGAGTGGGTGGAATAATGTGGGAGATCTTCATATTGAACTACCAAATCAGAGCTTGACTTACTATATTTCCTTCAAACTCCACTCCAATAACTGGAATAGGCTGTTGTGGTTTTGAACCAATTTGGAGAAGAAAAATGACAGAAAAATCAAAAGGAAACCTCTTTGTGTGGTTATAAGGAGAGACCAAGTCTCCCATATATTTGCACACCAGCTAAGCAAGATATAGGTGGATTAGTGACTCTCAGAACTTAAATTTGGTTTAAAGTCATTCCAACTAAACATACATCAGAGACATGAGAGGTCAAACTAAAAACCTCTCCAGAGGATGGAAAAATCCATCTTATTCCTCAGAAAATGCCCAAAAATAATTTTTCAAGGACAATGGCCATCAGGCAAAGTTTATGAGCCATAAAAGAAAACAACAATGTAACATGAGCAAGAAATAACATAAACCAGAGTTAGCAAAGACAAACCTGCATAGATTACAGATATTGGACTTTTCAAAGCCACATCTTAATTAACTATTCTTACCGCATTATAAAATTAAGTCACAAACTTTAAAATTTCTACCAGGAATAGGAAACCATAAAAAATAGACTTTAGAAAAAATCAAATAACATCTAGAAATGAAAAAAGCAACAACTGGAAATAAAAACCTTAATACCTGTGTTTGGCAAAAGATTGAATACAAATAAAATAATTTGTGACCAATTTGGAATATAAAGTAGAAAAAGTATATTGAGGATGCAGGGAAGATATATAAAAAGTGTAGAAAATGTAGATACAACCAAAGATGTAGAAAATACAGCTTGAATCCATTTGATTAGAGTCGTGGAATGAAGGGAGAGAATAAATGGGCCAAAGGAAATATTTGAAGAGAATTTGACTAAGAATTGGTGAAAGACCTCAACGAATATTTTCAAAAGGACTGTTTAATCTCATGAAGGATAAATACAAATAAATCAACATTCATAAGCATCACAGGAAAACTGAAGAAAACTAGACATAGAAAAATCTTAAAAGCAATCAGAGGGAAAAGAAAGATTATTTTGGAAGAAATGACAGTTAGATTGACCATTGACTTACCAGTAGTAACTCTTTTTAGAAAAGTGGACTTCAAAATGCTTAAGTTGAAATAAGAACTGTCTTAGAAAATAATAACCGAAAGAATTTTTTCATCAGTAGACATTCACTAAGAATTCCAAAGGATAAATTTTAGGTAAATAATGATCCCAAATGAAAGATTTTGAATACAAGAAGAATCAAGGAGAAAAAAAGCATGGTAAGTATGTGGGAAACTGTAAATAGCCAATGATTCCATAAAACAATTATATTAATGTATTGTTTGGATAAAAACATGAGATAGATTTCAAACACTAGAAACAGGAAGGCCAGAAGAGGATAAATGGACTTAAAATATTTATTATACATCTAGGAGGTGTGTAAATGTTTTTTTAAATTCAGATTTAGAAAGGTAAAGTGTACATATTATAGTTTCTAGGGTAGACACCACAAGAAAAGAAAGAATATTTTAAAACTTTCAAAAGAAATGGACAAATGATAAAGATAATATTTAGCCAGTTAAAGAAAAGGCAGGGAAGGAAAGAAAACACAGTGAACATATACAATAAATGTGAAGAACAGAAAAAGATGTTAGAAAGAAATAATAAGTTATTGGTAACTAAATGCAAATGGATGGTATTAACT